CACCCTTGTTTTTTACCCCTATAGGTTTTAGCAGCTTAACTATTTTATCGACGAGGATTCTTGGCAAATATCAGCCTAGATGACTACCTTTGAGGGTATAATCCTTATTCTATCTTATTGTACTTTACTTATGCTCTGACATCACGTGTGAAATGGGTTCATTCTTGCTCACAGCGCACTCTTGTATTTAGGCACTTTTAGGTTTAAATATATTCACATTTTCCACATCACTACACCTTATGACTTCTTCACCTCTCAGATGTCGGCCAACACAGCTCGATTCGGAGTCGTAGTGGACATACCGGGTCAGGGTGTGTCAAATTATGACATGTGAAAACAAAATAATGTGCAATGACAATGTGAGATGGTCCACTATGGAAACGTTTAATTTTTTTATGTTTTCTCAGTATGCTATATATTTTTGAATTATTTTGTGTCCATGTGTGAACATTTTATTGGTGGTTATAGCTGACAAGTAACAATTAATGATTAAATAAATAATTTGCCCTTGAATTTGACGGAATTGATTATGCAATCTAACAGCAAGGGGTTAATTAACTGATTTTAAATAGTTCACGGGGTTAATTTACCAAAAAAAAAAGTTTAGGCGATCAATTTCAACTAGGATGATAGTTCAAGAGATCAAACCGCAATTTAACTATTTTAAAATAATAAAATACTGAATCTGGAGCAAAGAATGACAACTAAAAATTGGAACATGTTTTAATGCACAACCATCCTTTATATTTCTATTTAACTTATGGTGTGTAGTTATATGTAACTTATGACCCTCTTAAAAAGTGTTTTTAAAGTCCACATCAGCACTAGGCGGCTGGCCACCGCTACGTTTTAATTCGTAGGCATTCAAAAAATAAGGAAGAGCGCTTAGACCTGCCTATGTGCCCTCCTAGACCTGCCTAAGGATTCTTTTGGATAAAGGCTTTGATCCAAAGGGATCTCTATTTTTTTTAATTTTTTTTTAGTTGTGGGATCCATTGCACATCGAACTTCAGGGATCCGAACTCTATTTTTTAAGCCTTCATTCATAGATTATCCTTGCAATAAATCAATTTAATCCCAAAACCATTTAATCATTTGATTGTTTGAAGAAATTTCACTATTTGTTACAACATAGTGCTCTTCGATTTCTTTGAACTCAATTAGATTCTTCAAACATTTCTGATTTGACTAATATTTTGCAAAGATGTTCTATAATATGCAACTTGAAAAATAGACAGTTTGGATCATTGAAGTTCGATGTGGAGTAAGCCCCACAGCGAGTCTCTATTTTTTTTTACCAAAAATGGAGATCCCTTTAGATAAAGGGCTTGTATATAGCATTATTTCATCCATTTTGCACTTCGATACAATGATATATGTGACAAACTAATGAACATGTTTCACGTTTAGAAGGCTTATTAATTGAAATGTCCTCTGAAATTACAATTTAGTCTTAATTTACCCCATAAAACTGGTTTTGTCTCATTTTGCCCCCTAAAACTAATATTTTCAACTCTTTTGGTCTCACTTCACTCCATTCTATTAACAAATTGTTAAACTCAAGGGTATTGTAGACATTTTATTTTATACACATTTATTTAAATCTAACCTACACACTAAATAAACCTCCATTCCATTTTTAACAACTCTAATTCAAACCCATGAGTTTTGGGCATTTTTTTAAATAAATATTCTATCAATAAAAAAATTCCGAGCAACAAAATCATTATATTACCCAAAATAAGGGTTACATTTTTTTTTCTTACAGTCATTTCACTTGCAAGGCATCCATGTTATCACGTTCCGATTCCAAGATACCTCTAGGATTGACGTCAGAATTTATCAATCTAACCGTCATGCCTCGATTCCGAGACATAAACAAAACACAAATTAATGGTCCAATAGCGTAAGAACTTTTCCTTTTTATTTTGTGGTTGCATCTAACCTTTGTGTAATATTGCCTACATACCCTAAAAAGGGATCAAGCCATTCGTAGTTCACCCATCCATTAAGTTTCGAAATTTCTCATACATCCACTGGCCATAAACATAGAGTTCTAGACAACTCTCGACATTCATAATGCACCAATATGTCATTTCATCATTCATATACATCATAATGTTTCCATCTACAAAACCACAATCAACAACAATAACATTTCAATGAACCAACGATACACAATAATAATCTTCAACCACATTGATCAACTAATCAAGTCAAAATCAATTATAAAATCATACTTTATAAGATTATAAATAAACTAGGTGGAAATCTTGAAGGAATCACACAGACATCAATCGTTCTTTCTAAATCGGATCACAAAAATTATCAAATCTTTCGTTCATAAACATGTTCAACAATAGGGCTAGAGCCACACAGTTTGACTGAAAATTACAGCTCTTATGTTTCCACATTCTAGACCAGCTAAAAGGAACCATAAATATTTCTAGGGATCTAGTTCCAACACACTCAATAGAACTGAATAGGGAAATGGACTTCGGACCACTCAACAAAATCCAACAAAGATAGGGTTCAGGACCACTTAACGGAGCCGAATCAGGAAAAGGATTCGAGGCCATTCAATAGAATCCAACAAATATACAGTTTCAGACCACTCAACGACACCCATCTCAAGAATGCGTATGGTCTTCCAATGTGGATTAACCAAGTAGGACCATAGGCATCCATCTGATAACGTTATCCCCTAATGCAGATTAACCAGATAAGACCACATATGGATATAACGTGACTAAGTAGGTAATGACCCTCTAATGCGAATTAACCAGGCTGAGTCACCCCTAAAATGTTTACTATCCTCTAATACGGAATAACCATGCAGGACCATAGGCAAGCATCATATAGTGTGGTCCCTAGTGCAGTTTAACTAGGCTGGACCACCTATGGAAGTAATGTAACCAAGTAGGTAGTGACTCTCAAATGTGGATTAACCAGGCAGAGTCACCTCTAAAGCACGTATGGTCCCCCAATGTAGATTAACTATGCAGAACAATATATGGAAATGATATAGCAAGGTAAACAGTGACCCCTCCTAATGCAGATTAACTAGGCGGAGTCACCCCTAAAATGTGTGTGGTCCCCCAATGCGGATTAACAAGGTAAGACCCTCTATGTACCAACTGCTACATGGTGCACTCACAACATCACACATCATAGCTTATACATTAATTCAATAAGAATTACAATTGTAAACACACACACAATCAATTCCATATGACCAACAAATATGTAATCACATAGACGTACAAGCTCTAAGGAATAATTCTAATATGGTCCTTAGCTTATCACTTCATACTAGTAGTTGCACATTATTATTATTGTCATCGTGAAGCTTGATACGCACGTAAATCCCGGTAAAGTGCCACTTGCACGCATATTGAGATACATATCCTTTAGGACGCTCACTAACCAAGATAGACCCACTAGTCTCTATTGGGTCTCTACTAATGGTAATTTCAGCATTCAAGATCGATTTGAGACTTTTGATTAAAAGTCAACCTTAGGTGAACGTGGTCAACAATATGATCAACAACCTTAGTAATCCAATCCGGAAGACTCGTACGTTAGATTATTGATCTGTAAATTCCTAACGTCCTTAAATATTATGTATAACCACATGCTATAAATTCGTGACAAACCAACGGTCAGATTTTCATTTATTACAAAAGGCCATATGGCGCCCATTTACATAACTAGGCTTAAACAATCGCATCACATCATTCGGATTATGGAAATGGAACCAGAGCAACAAAGATAGACATGGTCGGGTCACTAGTGAGAGCTATGGATTTTGTAGCCCAACCCTTGGTGAGTCTTATGGTGGTGGTGGGATATATCGAGGTGGCCAGAGGTGGGCAATTGCCTCCCATGAAGTTTCAGAAAAAATGCGACTTTGAACCATCATGAACAGAGGCCAAATGGTGACAAGGATAGGTGGGTTATGATTGGGATGAGGAGGTGAGTCTAACGGTGATGGTGGCTGCAAGCCTTATCGGCAGAGCTCGCTGTAAAAAGCCAGAGAAACTCGCTTAGAAACACATTGAGTTGTACATGCGGGTCAAGGGGAAGGGGGTGTCCAATCAAGGCCACCCACATGGCTATCACAAACGGGACCCCTCCCACAAATTTGGAACCTTCCAGAATTATACAGTCAAAATGACCATTTTACCCATGGCTTTACTCGCTTATTTCTCCTTTGTTTCACGAACATTTTTTGTCTAAGTGTTTGCGAGATTGAGCTCTATCCAAAAATACTTAGTGTGATCCTGAAAGGTCTACGGTTTTTTAATGACTAACTATGGAAATCAAAACTTAATGACTAACTATGGAAATCAAAACTTAGTAACTAGTCAATTAAAAAAATCAAAATTGAACGAAAATCATATGAATTCATGTAAATACGAGATATTGAACGAAAATTGAACGAAAATCATATATTGGCTCAAAACTTTGCACTTGAAAATACTCATTACAACATAAAGGAAACATGATTAGCCTATTTCAAGATATCTTTCTAGTTGAAATTGGTCTAACCACCATACAAATTTGATCTCAGAACAGTTGCACAAAATATAATTAAAAAAAAAGCTATTAAACTACCATATCCAAAATACTTCCCAAACCAAAAAAACATCTAAAGCAAATGTGCACAATTTACAACCAAAAGTTTCACATTGTTGCTCAGAATTTTGCTATTGATTGAATAATTTATTTTTTTGAAAAAAAAAATCTCTAACTCATGTGGTTTGAATTAAAGTTGTCAAAAATGACGTTAAGGTTGGTTTAGTGTGTATGCTAGAGGTAAATAGATGTGTACAAAATCTAAAATGCCCTTGAATTTAACAATTCTTTAACGGAATAGGGTGAGGTGAGACCAAAAGAGTTGAAAATGTCAGTTTATGGGGGTAAAGTGAGACAAAACCAGTTTTAGAGGGTAAATTGAGAGTAAATGGTAGCTTATGGGGGCATTTCAATTAATAAACCTATTTAAATGGCTTGGCGGTTTGACCATGGTTGTTAACTCCTAACAAAGGAGCAAACATCATCCCATACACATTGGTGTTGAAAGTGGTGTCAAACATAATCACATCACCAAAATGGTCGTAAGCACGTCGTGACTTAGCATCCGCCCAAAAGAAATTCCCAAGTGTTCTGCCTTCGTTAATCTCCATCTTCAAATAAAATGAATCGTTTTTCTCTTTCTCATCCTCAAAATGCTCTTTCAACATTTCTGCATCATGCCCAATTAGATGAGCTCACTACTGATGTTCGACGTTATACATATTCTTGGGAGTGCAACCAATGTTTCCAGTTCGTCCACTTTACACCTCCAATAAACCCACTTGTTTACTTATGGAAATATTTGGCCTACACACATTGTTCAATCATCGCCGTCTTTGCCTTTGAAACTTGGCAATTGATCTAAATAAGTGTGACACACTTGACATAGGGTGGTTGTGTGATTCATTGAAAACTGTTGCAGTAAATGTTTCACTACCAATTCCCTTATTCAGCGTAATTTTTGCCTTGCACTCAATTCTAGCATCTCCCCTCCTACCTTTCTTATTAGGTTTGGGATTAGTATCCACCATCTTCTTGCATTCTTTGCAACAAACAAATTCTTTCCGTAACCAACATTCACCATTACTGGACTTTTTATTACTATTCTCCCGAATCCCAAACCCCACTACAAGTGCATAATTGTTGTAAAAAGTATATCCTTCATCCAATGACTCAAACTCTATTTTAAATTTTGGTTTCAACTCATCGTTTACCGTTGAAAAAACTAATTCAACACTCCCTGCACCAGATTGATCCTCTGCACTCTTTCCCCATAGTAGCTCTATTTCTAACTTATTCCCCATCGATTTACACTTCTATGTCTACCTGCTACAAATCTACATAAATACAACACAACTTATCATAACCCAGCAAAATTTTTGCACCTATATATCTAAAATCCAATTTCACAATTTCAACCAAGTAAAATCCCATAATTTTATAAATTGAAGTTGAATGGAAATGGATTACAACAGAGGTTCTGGATTTCTTCAGAGACTCACCTTCACAATCTTGGTTTCTTCACAGCTTCTAGATGAACCACATTGTCAACTCCAACACGAGTACAACATCAACCTACATGAAATCGAGCCTGACATCCTTCACCACCTCCTTATCTGCCTCTCTTTCTTGGCGAAGACAACCTTAATCTCTCCTTCTCTAGGTGACAAAAACACACCCAGTGAACCAAAAAAATTAAAGGTATAAGATTACTGGGTCACAGTTGCAATGCAACTTCAATCTAGATGAAATCGGTTCCTCAACCCAACTCTTTCTCTCAGCCTCTCTTTCCCTCTTCAGCACGCCAATATTACCTCAGCTACCCACCTCCCTAATTCTTTCTAAGAAAGAGATACCCAGTGAAAAAAAAATTTAATGGTATAAGATGATCAATAAAAAATTTAAAGGTATAAGATGATCAGGTCACTGTCACAACGCAATTTCAATACACCTCAAATCCAATCACCACCCTAGCTCACTCTCTTTGTGTTTCTTTTGGCCCTCTTGAACATGCGAACTCTCAGCCCCCCCCCTCTTTTTTTTTTCCAGGTCACACCAACCCAATTCTACCGTGAGCTCAGCAAATCAAGATCGTCTGATTCGTGTCCACAAACCCAGTTTGAACAATTAAACACTGTTCAATTTATAAAAAATACTAGTAAATGTCCACAAACCCAGTTTGAACAATTTCATTTCATTATGTTTTTTTTATGCCCACACACACCTAGTGGGAAAAAAAGTTGTGAAAATTGGGACAATGATGAGCTGTTTCTTCTAACATGGGCATGTTTTTTATTTTTCAATTTAATTTATTATTAATTTTTAAATAGAGCATGCTATATTGACTTGCCTGTGAGGTAGGTGTAAAAAAAACAAAATTTATGTTCATGTAATTACTAACTTGCCCATATTTTTTATTTTTGTTAAGTTTTGGTGAAGGGGTTAAAATAATAATTTTATGGAGTTTTGATTGACAACCAGGATTCTATTAATAGGTAGTTTAGATACTAGTAGATGTCCACTCATGTAGTGTGAAAAATGTCATTTCAATTTTTTTTTTATATGCCCACACACACCTAGTGAAAAAAAAAATCAATTATGAAAATTGAGACAGTGATGAGTAGTTTCTTCTAAAGTGGGCATGTTTTTTATTTTTCATTTTATTTTATTTCTAAATAGGGAATGCTATACCGATATGGCTGTGAGGTTGGTGTTAAGAAAGGAAAATGTATGTTCATGTAATTACTAAACTAGCCTTTCTATACGTGCATACGCACGTGCAAAAGGCCTTCTATTTATCACGGGTGCTGGATGCCCTTAAATTTTTATAATATGTTTGATAAATGTGTAAACAACATAACGTTAATGTCTAATAGTACGAAGTAGGTCACGTTTCTTCAAGATGTCACGTGCCTCCTCTATTTTAGGAGGAAGAAATATTAATATCACGTAGTGTGTTGTGATTAAAGAAAGACATTTCGCACGCGCGTGAGTGCGTGCATGAAGGTTAGTACTTTATAATATGACCAGTTCAAATTATAAAACAGAGTGGATGAAGCGGCCCGACTGCTGCCAAACCCTATGATCACATCTTTCATTTAGCTTACACTGGTTTGTGAGTTTGGACAGGGCCCATGGCCTTTCCTCCTCTCCTGCCATTGTGCAATCGAGTCTAAACCCTAGTGTAATACAGGTAGGATGGGGTATCGACGGACAATAATAAGTGAAAATAGAAAAACAAAACAAAATGATCTACACAATCTACTACAAATATGTTTGATAAATGTGTAAACGACATAATACTATTGTTTAATCGTACGATGTAGATGTCATGACCAAATTCTGGATGTACATACAAAAACATAAAGTTAAATTGTAACGTCATGGTTCCATTAACAAATCATGGTCTATTTTAAAGGTTTAGTCTCATTAATCATGGTCTTTTTTATGTCCACTTACAACTATTTTCCCAATTTTTTTTCTCGCATACTATGCTATCTTTACCAACCAAACAGCCTAAAAAGTTTGCGACTCATTGCACATCTGCAAAACATTTTCCTTCACTTACACAGTAGCAAGAAGAAGGCACCACCCAACGCAACATAGTTAAATAAAAAAAAGTATACCACATTGACCTGAGAGAGGGAAAAGATCAGCTACAAAAATAGATAGAAAAGAAAGGGGGGAGGGAAACAAAATGTAAGAACAGCTTTCAAACCAACACACAGCCCGCACAGAGAGAGAGAGAGAGAGAGAGAGAGAGAGAGCTCTTAAGACATAAACCTTAACATTTTACCTACAAGCCCACTGTCTAAGATAACAACACCAAATCATTGTATCCAACATAATGTGAAATCCCGTTCCCGGATTTCATTGTTTAAAATTGCGTATTTCATATTCATATTCTTAGTTCGGATACTTTTATATTTACGGCGTATAGGTTTTTTTTATAAGTAAAAGGACAAAATTGCCCCTATTGTATTAAACGGGATTATTCGGGAAGTATTTAATCCTTTTATGATTTTCCCAATTTTTTTTACATATTTTTATAGTACTCGTCAATACGAACGCGTGAGCGTAAATGGAATGTAATTTGGAGTTATAACGAGGAAGTTATAGACGATCAAAGACAAGGGCGAAATGATCATTTGACTATTATCTGGAAGGCTCCAGATTTGCTGGAGCATTAATCTAATGTGCCACATGTGTGGCTGTGATGGGAAGAAAATGAGGGAAATGAGGGATTGGGCTAACGAATCAGAAAGAGGGGGAAAAGAGTGAGCCAATGGGAAGAGAGGAAAGAAAGGAAAGGAGGGAAGGAAGAACCACCCAACCCAGTTCCCTCCCTTCGACCCTTGACCGGACTCGGTTACCGCAAGACAACTCCAACGGACCACGTCAAACAACTACCTGGGAAACACTCCACGACATTCCCTCTACCAATTCCACCCGAAAATTGATAAAATTTGGCCTTGATTTTGTGAAACCCGCACGGTGGGTGTGACGGGTTCTTGGCAATGATTCACCAAACCTAAAGCTAACTCCGCCAACCACCAACACCAATAGACTTCCCTCAACCTCAGGAACAAAGCCCAAGCAGTGGTGAAGGTGTTGGAGCTCATTTTGAGGTTGAATAGAGAACACCTATTTTTAGGTTTTCAGCAGATCAAGGGTTATTTGAGGTGATTCCGGGTAGAATTGGACTTTGGCTCAAGTATGAAAGTTGTTCCTCTCATTTAGATATATATGTTTGTAAAATTTGGAAATTTTTAGAGGTAGTCGAAAAATTGAGTTTTCGTTCGCCGGAAACCGCCACCTGTGGCAGCGCATGGCTAGTGGGCCGGCAATGCTTTTTAAGCTAAATTACATTTCTTGATTTCAGATTCGATATCTGCTTGATGTAATTTGATTGTCTGAACCTATTTTGATTATGGTACGCCACTTGATCATTATATGAATCCACGATCTGGCCGTTAAATTATCACCAAACTTTATTATGTTATTATACATAATATTTGAGGACTTTAGGAACTTACAAATTGGGAATCCGACATATGGATCTTCCCGAAGTGAACTTCTAAGTTTGTAAAACTAAATGTTGATGGCCACTTAATTTTAGCAATTGGTGGAGATCCGACCGTTGGATTATTCTGAAATTTTAGGATATTGACACTCTTGGGAAGTTACGGATTTGAAATCCATGGGAGGATGTTCTCGATCGATTTGCATAGGGTTGTGGACCCCACCATTGACTGAGAGTTGACTTTTGGGTCAACATGTTTTGAATCGTTCCTAAATACTAAAATTAGTACTACTAGAGACTAATTCTAGTGTGAAGGAAAAATTTGTGAAAACAAGTTCATTTGAGCAACATCTATGCATGCAATTAACAATTAAAGGCGGAATTATGCTTGTATGCACTCAAAAACAAAACTTTACCCATGAAATTCAAGGCCTAATAGTTGTGGTGAACCAGGACTCGACTCAAATCTTAAAGAAAAGAGTTGAGAAACTTTTATACCTTTGAAGCACCTCTTTGCATAAGCAAAGGCTAATCACCCAAGAGAGAGGACCTTCATTCCTTACTTCTTAGCTCCATGGATTTCTTGGAGGATGATGGTTGAATGGATTCTCTAAGTTCCCAAGAAAGGGAACCTCTAAGTTTCCACGAAAGGAAACCTCTAAGTATCCACACAAAGGAGAGACTTGAAGAAGAGATGAGTGACCTTGGAGGAGGATTGATACTAGTAAATCCCCTCCAAGGGCGCCGGCCTCCTAGAGAGAAAAAAAGAGCTTTTGTTCTCTCCAATTTCCTCAAGAGAGAACCCTAATGAATTTTGGCTATAAAGTCCTTTATATAGTCACTTCATTAAAGTGACAAAAAAAACCAAAAACTTTCATCATGATATGGCTGGCCTTCTAAAGGCTTTGGGCTATTTGGGCCCTTTTGAGAATTTAGTCATTAAGTTGTCATACAACTTAAGTTAATGGGCTTAATGGTTTTGAAACTAATGGGCTTTAAGGTCCACTAATTACTCAAAAGCTAAAACAAACTTATTCATTTGATTAATTAACATATTAATTAATCCTAGCCATAAATAATTAAACCATTTAACTATCCTTACTCATCTCCATTGTTTCTTCAATCTCTACCTTACACGGTATACGATCTATTAGGTTCCTTTTAGCGAGGTAGTGGACGATTAGAACTCTTCAAATCGATTGTGAATTGAAACTTACTTTGTTGGAAATGTGCCCTAAAACCAATCATGTGATGATACTTTACGGACATTTCACATGTTAA